CAGCCCACGGCTGACGTGTGAGTGCAGCGTGCGCTTGCCCTGGGCAGACCCATGCCTGGCTGCTCCCATGAGAACCTTGCCATGCCCTGGGGTCCCTATTCCATTGCCATGGTCCAAGGGGACTCTTGTGACCAGGCCCCGGTGCGGCTGCCCTGCCGTGGAGGGACGACTTGGGGTTCACATCCTTTTGGACAGCCTGGGTATGCCCCTGCCATGGCCACTGGGCTCTGGATAAGCTCACCTTGGTGGAGTCGTAGGGGAACTGCAGGCGGTGTAGATAACCGTCCCACTCTGCTGCCAATGCCCTCAGGTTTCTTCCCCTCCCTCCAGACCATGGGAGAGTAGCCATGGCTCTCAACCGAGGCCTGAAGAACGACCTCAGTCATGCTGCCCTTGGCCTGGGGCCACGGTGCAGTGCTGTGCAGCCGTGAGTCTCCCTCCGCAAGGCACCGCGCTGGGCTGGCAGTGCAGAGAGATCGGAGCTCGCAGAGGGTTGCAGTGAGGTTAGCGATGCTGCGAGCAGGGCAGAGGGCGCCCCCGACAGCAGTGCAGCTCGCAAGGAGACCCGGTGGGGCTGGTCCTGATCCATCGGTATGGCTGAAAGGAAGGCTTTGCCTGGATGACATCAGGAGCTGGCGGAGCAGCCGGGGGTCTAACTGAAGGAGCTGCAGAAGCCGTCAGGGGCAGCTGCAGAGAAGCACCCTGGTGCTCAGATCCTGGCGTGCTGCTTGTGAAGGAAGGAGCTTTGCTTTGCTCAGCTGTGATCTTCACTGCCGGGTTCGTTTCCTGCTCGCTGCCGTGCTGCGGTGAGGGCAGCAAAGCCAGACGAGACTGAGCTCCCCCCGAGGCGAGCCAAAGCCGGGTGTAATTATTGGAGCAGGTACCGGTACCGTTCCAGGTGTACCACACAGCCAAGGCTGCCGCTGGAGCTAGGTCTCGTAGGGGCCGGCCTGGTGCTCCCAATAACCTCTCAGAGACTCAGACACACGGCTCAGGGAACGGGCATTTCGTAGGGCTGCAGCAAAGGGGAAGGTTCCACATACCCTAGGCACAGAGGCATAACCAGTTACAGTTCAAAGTGAGCACTGGCAGGTCTTGGTTGGCCCCTGGGGCAGCCCGGTTGAGAGTCAGGGCTCTCCAGGCCCTGCACCGGGGCACCCTCTCCAGTCCAGTCTCTATCAGATTGTGGGTTTCCATTCCAGGCTCAGCTAGTGTCTCTCCTTGGGGCCCCTCTGCACTGGCCCATTGTCCAGCCACTGCTGCTCCCTCACGAGCCCCACACAGGCCAGCACCGAGCTGAGATGTCCGGCCATCACAGCCTCTGCACGCGGTCCCTGGGGAATCTGATCTGCATCCGGCTTCCCTGCAGCTCCTGGCTGGCCACGTGGCCACCACCATTTCCCAAACAGAGCCAGCCGCTCTCTGGCTCATGGCCTTTACCCTACCTGGCCAGGAGGAAGGGAGGCGGCTGCTGGGAGCTGTAAGCCCCTGCTTAGCAGATCCATCACATGCCTCCGGTTGGCCCCTCCTGTCCCCACACAGTGTAAATCTCAGCCAGACTTGGCCTGGGCTCTCAGATGAGCTCCCAGTAGCAACCTGGAGCCAGGAGCCACAGGCTGAGCTGGGCCTGTGTCAGGCCGGACGGGAGTAGCCATGCTCCGGGTGAGTGAGACCAGTTGTCCCCACAGCCCAGCACGGCGGTGCCAGTTTGGGGGTGGCAGGGTTTGCTCGCAGCTCACGGAGTGATTTAAGCTCTCTTTGTTCCCGCTGCACCTGGCGTTTGTCACCAACACAATGACCACCTAGGACACACGAAGGCTTTTGCTCCAGGGGGTGGGGGGATCTGAGCAATGTATGGGATGTGTGTGGGGGTCTGGCCTCTCTCCTTCGCCCCTGTCCTGCTGGAGGTGGTCAGGGTCTCCTTTGGGACCATCCCTGGGGTGGAAGCCAGGCAAGGGCAGGTGCCCTGGGCAGAGTCGGGAGAGGGGTGAGGATCAGGCTGTGATGACCTGGCACATTTTGTCCCCTGGAACAATAGCGCTTTGGTAACAGGATATCCCTCAACAAACCACTGGAGCAGCTCACAGCTGCCCGCAGCCTCAGCCCCACATGGCTGCCAGGGGACGGCAGGGCTGGGGTCACCTCCAGCTTGGAGGGCTCATGACCAAGGGGGATCAAGGAGAAACGCCAAGCAACAGTTTCCACTCAGCCCGGTGCAGCCTGCCCCAGCTCAGCCTCCTGCCCCAGGGCTGGGGCAGGACAGCGGCCCACGCCCAGCGTGTGTTGTGAAGTAGGATGGGGAGCAAGTGAGGCGTGCGCTGAGCCAGTTCCAAGGGGGAAAGGGGACCCCTCTCCCCCCGCAGCCTGGGGTTGCATTCGCCCCGAGCTCACAGACTGGAGCCACACACGCTGCCTCCTTCACAGCCCGCTTCAGTCCATGGCCCCGGGCTCAGCCGTGGCCGGAAACCCCCAGGCTGCCCCTGCTGGGTGAAGGGCTAATTCCTGTTCTTTCTGGGAATGCCCTGCCCCTTCCCGGGATCTCTTGGCCCCTCGTTCTCATGGACAGGACTGCGTGGGGAGGAGGCACTGCCCCTGGGCCTACTGAGGAGGAAAGAGCCATAGCCAGAAACAGGGTGCTGAAGCCAGGGACCCCATCTTGGGGCAGCGCCCAGCGGAGCCCTGGTGAAAAGTGAAGGCCCAGGGCCTCACACCAAGGGGACAGTGTGACGCTCCGAGGCAAAGCGGGTCTGTGATCCCTGGGATCTGCTGGCCCCCTGGGAGTCACAGGACCACCATGACGGGCACCAGTAGGGCAGCCCAGCCCAGAGTCCCGTGGCCATGCCCGAGGCAGGGCATGGCCTGCGGGGAATCGAATGGCTCCCCCAGCTTTGGGAGCAGCCACGTGCCCCATGGCTGTCATCCAGGCAGGTCCTCGTGCACGGAGGGCTCGCTGGTCCAAACCAGGCTTCCCTGCCACAGACAAAGGCAGGGTGAGGTCAGTACTGACAAGAGACCTGTTCAGAACGCACGGGCTGTGATCCTAGGCCTGGCACCCTCACCTCAGAAACATTTGTTCAAACAAATCCCAGCTCCAGTGACCCATCATCCCTCTAGTGCATGGTGCCCACATGGCCCCTCCATCCTGTCCCTGCACTAGGGCGTGCTGGCCACATCACACCAGCCCTCTGTCTCTGGTGTGGTCCCTTGTAGAGCGGGGCAGACGGCGCAGAGCGACTAGGGAGGGGCAGGCCGGGGAACGGGCCGGAATGGTCCATTGGCATGACATCGCACCCCCATTTTGCCCCTCTCCACTGTCTGGAAAAGGTCCGGCTCTGGCTCTGAGCTCTGACAGCAGCATGGACTGGGGCTGACTCACTGTGCTGTGTCAGCTACCCACGAATCATTCCTGAGTCGTCAGCAGCACCCGCCAGAGAGGGCAAGTGGGTCACCCGCCCTGCGCAATCAGTAGGCCCCGTGCCCATCCTGTGTGGGTGGCAAGGGCTGGAGGGAGGGGCAGGTGTGAGGTGTGGGGCTCATTTGGGAAAACAGACGCCTGTAACAGGTTCCCTTCCTGGTGGGGATTCCTCTCCCAGGGGAGCTGCTTAGTCAAGCATCAGGCTGTGCTCCTGGCGAGCTGGTGGCTCATCCCTTGGGCTGGGGGGCAGCTGCCATCAGCCTTCACCCCAGTGCAGGGCCTGGAGAGCCCTGACTCTTGATCGGGCTGCCCCAGGGGCCAACCAAGACCTGCCAGTGCTCACTTTGAACTGTAACTGGTTATGCCTCTGTGCCTAGCGTATGTGGAACCTTCCCCGTTGCCGCAGCCCCACGAAATGGCCTGTCCCTGAGCCGTGTGTCCGGGAGGTTATTGGGAGCACCAGGCCGGCACCTATGAGACCTAGCTACAGTGCTTGCCTTGGGGGCGCGGTACACCTGGCACGTTCCCAGCACTGCAGGGGCCTGGGGTACTGAGCTGTAGGGACAGTCCTGTACCCATGCGCCATTGCTTCCCAACAGACCAGGCCCTGGTGCTGTTCCTCACTGCAGGGAACAAGGAAATGGCCGAGCAGGCAGGGAAGGGGACAGGAAGGGGCTCTGCTCACTGAGTCCTGAGGGGCCCAGAGTCCTCAGCACCCAGGACCTGCCCTCCCTGACTGACCAGCCAGGCTGCTCCAGAGCAGCCCTGTAAGGGGAGGCCTGGTCCCTGCCAGCTACCCCACTACCATCCTCCCCTGAGAGACACTCGCCACTAGTGTCTTGACCCAGACCCAGACACATGGAGCAAGTGCCTGTCCCCAAAGGCCTGATCCCCTGGGCCCTGCTTGGGAGGGGAAGACCCCCCGGATGTGAGAGCCCCCAGCTCACAGCCTGTCAGACACTGTCTCGCAGCAGAGCGACCAGGGAGGGGCAGGCTGGGAAAATCCCCCGGCTCGGCCCCAACCCTTTGCCTGGTCCTGAGCCGGACCCGGCGCCAGGCTCTGCACAGTGTGTGGGAGCGTCAGGCCGCTCTGCCCAGTGCTGCCAGGGATGCGACCGGCTCAGCTAGTGTCTGTGCCCCCCAGGTGGAGGCATGTGGTGCGAGTCCAATTGGCGTCAGGGCAGAGCCGGGGCAGGGCTGGAGACATAAACAGGGTGAGCAGAGGGGGTGAAGGTCCTGGCAGCAGAGCAGCAAGTGACTGGGGGGCCTGATCCCTGCAGCTCCCCTTGGAAAGCCCCTCAGTGGCTCTGCCCAGATGCTCTGTGGGGTCCTGTGCAAATAGCCCTGCTGGCCCTGAGCGGGAAAAGGGGGATTTGGACCTGGAGTAATTTGGGAGCTTGCAGTGACTGAATCCAGGGGCTGGACTGCTGCAGTGGCTATTCCTGAGGTCCCTTCCAACCCTGATATTCTATGATTCCCTGGCCACCCTGGTGCCCCCAGCCAGCCTGTCCTGGCAGCCACATGTCGAAGCACTCACACACACAGCTTGTTATGCAGGGACAGGCTTTACTACGCCCTTCTCAGGGTGCTGCTCCGAGGCAGAGCCGGGCAGCGGCCGGGCACATGCTCGCTCCCCCGCCATGCCCAACCAGCCTCCTGTGCATGGAGGCACCGGTGATGTCAGGTGGCAGATGTAGCCCGAGGGCAGTTGGAGCAGCCAAAGGGGCTGGGCAGAGTGAGGGGAGCGGGGAAGGTCCCTGGAAGTGGGGCCTTTGCAGGCTGATCAGTTCTCGGCAATTGTCTTGTGTGGGTCATGGGGGCGGCATGTCCCCTCTGGCACCTGGGTTCAGGCAGACAGGCGTTAGGGAGACCCTGGGAAGTAGAACGAAACTGTCAGAGCCCTGCTCCCATATCACTGCTCCCTGCATGCCCAGGGCTCCCTGCGCTCACCAGCGCCATGACTGGTGGGTCCATGTAAACTGGAGTGACTCCAGTGGGGGCACATGAGTGTGGAACTCCCAGCCCGGGGGTAGGGGCTGGCTAATGCGGCTGGGGCCCTGGCCCTTCACTGTGTTCCTCCGATTCCTCCCACCTGCTCAGATATGGGCATATCCCCCCTCCGGCCCTGGCAGCCCAGGCTCCCTGCGGAGGCAGGCATTAAACTCACCTCCAGACACTCTGATGCACTGGTGGCCACACCCGTTACTGCAGCACTTTTCTCCTTCAGGACAGGAACCGTCGCTGGTGCATAACTCTGCGCAGAGCCCAGCGCCGAGCGGCTTTGGGCAGCTCCCACGGCTCCCTGGGACACAGAGGATCATGTGGCCATGAGACACCCGCCCTGACGCTCATCTGCCCCTGCTAAAGGCTCCCGGCTCGCTGTGGGAAACAGGCCAGAGCAGGACTGAAGAGAGACCCCAGCCAGGGAGCCCTAGACGCCGCTCATCCCTCTGCTCCCACTCAGAGCCACACTCCCCACTTCAGCCGCTGCGGGAGGGCAGCTTCACCCCCCGGCTGCTCATCAGCCTTCTCGCTCTGTGGGCAGCACCAGGGAGTGGCCGTCACTGTGACAATGCCGGTGCTTCTCTCACAGCCTCCCTGCGCCAGGGAGCGTCGCTCTCAGCCACCTGTAGTGACGTGGGACCCAAAAACCTCACTGCTTTTTAAAAGCAGGAAAAGAAATTCCTCCCAGGGGTGCAATGGGGCAAACGTCTGAATGGCCCCTGCTTCCCAAAGACTGCGCTGCCTGACAGGGCCTGGAAAACCAGCGCCCGAGAGGGGGCCCAGGCTGGAAGAGACTTTGTGTCCCAGCAGGATGGCCCATCTCAGCCTGAGCCAAAGGGCCTCTGCTGACAGCACGGAAATGCGGAACTGCCTCTCAGCCGGAGTGCGGGGCCAGAGGGAGCAGGCCAGCCACAGGGCCGGTTCGCGTTAATGATCTCTGCAGACCAGAGTTGGCAACAGAGGTCCCTCTCCTGCACCATCTGGAGCCCAGGGTGCAGCCCACTCAGGGCCAGGGCCATTGGGCTCCTCCACCAGTGCAGTCCTCAGAACGAGAGTCCAGAGCTTGTGTGACGAAGCGGGACTGTTCTTAATGTTTCCTCTGAATAGTGTGGGGTGCCTCAGTTTCCCCTGTGTAGTTCTTAAGTATCTAGGGGGTGGGGTAAGGGTGTATGATCGTTGCAGAGTCCTAGAGGGCAGGGGTGTGCAGGGGTCTGGACACAGAGAATGGCCGACACCCTGTTTCCTGGCAACTGATGGCCTGGGCCCTTCCCCCCTGCAAGGTGAGAGCTAAAGGGTTGGAGAACAAAGAAATCCGGTGACCTCCTGGCCTGGGAAAGGGACAAAGCCCAGAGGAGGAGGGGCTGGAGAGGGTTTTCAGTTTGGGTCTGGCTGGGGACATGGAGTGAAGTGCAGATGGGGTTGTCTGGCTCACTGCCCCCCAAAATGGACCCAGCTGAGGGGTCCTGTTCTCTGCACCTACAAGCTCTGTGTTAGACCATGTTCCTGTCGTCTAATAAACCTCTGTTTTACTGACTGGCTGAGAGTCACGTCTGACTGCGGAGTTGGGGGGCAGGACCCTCTGGCTTCCCCAGGACCCCGCCTGAGCGGACTCGCTGTGGGTAGCGCACGGAGGGGCAGAGGAGGCTGAATGCTCCGAGGTCAGACCCAGGAAGGTGGAAGCTGTGTGAGCTGTGTGTCCTGCAGACAGGCTGCTCACAGAAAGGAGACTTCCCCAGAGTCCTGACTGGCTTTGTGGGGAGCAGTTCCAGAGTATTGCCCGGGGACCCCGTGACAATCCCCCAGTGATGTGGGTTCCACAACCCCCCTCAGTCACCTATTCCAGAGCTTACCAAGCCTTAGAGTTAGAAAGCTTGTCCTAATATCTCAGCTAAATCTCCCTTCCTGCAAACTAAGCTGGTTCCTCCTTCTTCTACCCTTGGAGAACAGTTGATCCATCTCCTCTTTACAACAACCTTTTACAGATTTGAGGGCTGTTATTCCCCTCTCAGTCGTCTCATTTCTATACTGAAGATGCCCAGTTCTTTAAACCTTTCCTCATCAGCAGAGGCGGATTCGGGTTTTGTGGGGACCTGGGCCAGAGGAAGTGGGGGCCCCTCCCCACCCCTTCTACCTGTAGTCCCTCTTGCCCCTCCCCATGCTCCTGTTGGGGAAATGGGCTCGGGGTGTGGGGGCTTCCCCCGCTCCCCAGCAGGAGCGCCAAGTGGGCAGAGTGGGGCAAGACCCCATGCCCCAACCCCACTCCCCAGCAGAAGCACTGGGCGGGCAGAGCAGGTCGGGGAACAGGGGTGCCCATTTTTCCAGGGCCCCCCAATTGCCTGGGGCCCCTGGGCCCGATCCCCATTGGCCCAGTGGCTAATCCACCACTGTTCATAGCTCAGGTTTTTCTAAACTTCTTATCATTTTCGTTGCTCTCCTCTGGACTCTCTCCAATTTCTCCACGTCTTTCCTAAAGTGCAGCACCCAGTGCTGAGCAGAGCGGGACAATGACCTCCCGTGTCTTACATACGACACCCCTGTTAATCCAACCCAGAATGACTTGTACCTTTTTTGCAGCAGTATCACCTTGTTGACTTATATTCAATTTGTGATCCACTGTGGCCCCCGATCCCTTTCTGCATACTGTTGCCTAGCCCGTTATTCCCCCGTGGTATGTGTGTGTTTCCCCCGTGCAGTACTTGGTACCTGCCTATACTGAATTTCATAAATTCTCTCAAATTTATCAAGAGATTCATCCGGGGAGTCTTCTAATCTGACATCTGTGTCACCATCTCTCCCTGTAGCTGTTTCCTCTGTGCTCAGCCCTGCAGTATCTGAGCTCTCTACACAGAGCTGAAAGCTAGGACCACTCCCCCCCCCAGGCCTGAGCCTGGGACATCCGCCCCCTCAGTGCCTGTCGCTCAGCATCTTAGGAACTCAGTGTCCGGCCAGTCTGTAATTCTGTCTGCTGCTCCGAGGGAATCTCATCCCCTCACCCTGGCTTTGCTGGGGTCAGTCCCATCCCTGTGCCAGTGGCTCTGACAACGGAGACGTGTTTCTATTGGTCCCGGTGTCAGGTCACGGATGAGACAAACCAACCCACTGCCTAATGGGTCAGGTATTTCCAAGCACCCACTGCCCCTGCTCCCTTCTCTGCCGGCTGCCCGCACTCACCTCCAGACGCAGGCGGCAGCTGGGCCCAGAGGGCCAGGAGCCCCAGGAGCAGGAAGATGGCCCCTGACGTCATGGTGCTGCCAGGGGCTGGGTCTGAGTGCCCACGGCTGAGCCAGGCAGGGATTTAAACCCTGTCCCTGCTGCAGCTGAGAGGGGAGGTGACTCATAGTGACCTTTGGGCTCCTTCCCTGGGCCAGCATGCAACTCACTGCATTTCACAATAAACCAGTTTCACCTGTAAGTTCCCCTGCATGGAACGAGGAAACAACCCGGATCTTGCGGTCTGAGAAACCCCCCAAAGGAACCTGGAGAAACAGGTAGGCCCAGGCTCCAAGGTCCCAGTCAGATCCAGGGACTGATGGCAGAACATGCCCACCCCATCCTAGGGGACAGTATCTGCTCAGTGCCCAAGACAAGGAGAAACCCTGGCATAAGTGTGTGTTTGTGTGTGTGTGCGCGCGTACTCGTGATTCCTTCCTGATCCTAGGTCTGGAGACAACCCAGCCCACAGAGGAGTGCGAGTCACCCTTTACTCCGGACACAGGGTGGGAGCCAGGTCACAGCCCGTTCCTCGCTTAGTCCCCAGTAGCTGGTTCTGCCAGCCCCGCTGGGGCCCAGGATCCCAGACGGGATTGGCTCTAGGTGGATTCCATTCACAGCACTGCCATGTCACCCCTGGCTACTGTTTCAGCCTGACAGATCCTCATCTAGCCATCACCCCTCCAGAGCTGCTGGTCCCCACGCTGCCCAGGGTTCAGATTTCTAGCTGAGACCCTCAGCAGCTGCTCATCTCTGCACCTTCTCCAGGATTTCTGCTTCCCTAGGGAGCTGACATGCCCGGAGCTGCATGCAGGTGTCCAGGAGGGGCCTGTCCCTGGCTTTGGGCGGGGCTTCAGTAACATGCCAGGCGTGGAGGATGTTTGCATTGGCACACGCTGCGGCAGGGCACTGAGGAGACTCCAGCAGGGCTGAGCAGCGCAGGGGGTGTGACGCCCTGGTACCAGCAGGGCAGACAGCCTGTACCATGTCACCACGCCTTCATTACACCGAACGCCTGCTACCCAGAATCCTCTTGGCCTTCTCAGCCCTGCTGCACAACGTGCCCCATCTCCATGCCCTGCTCACAGGAACCCTGGGTTCCCCAGCTCACCTCCCCGTCAGTCTCACTTTGTATCAGGCTGTCTCCCCACAGGGCGCTCTGGACCTCCCTATTTCTCCAGGCTCCTTCGAGGGGGTTTCCCAAACCCCGGGATCCGGGTTGTTTCCTCGTTCCATCCGTGGGGACTGATTTATTGTCAGACAGCGCGTGCTGGGAGCTGGAGCATGGCAGGAGCCGATAGGTCACTGCGGGCACCTCCCCCCCGCTCCTGACCAGGTCGCACGTGGACTAGGCTTTAAATCGCAGCCTGGCTTAGCGCTGGGCACTCAGACCCAGCTCCCATCAGAACCATGGAGTCAGGCAGCATCTTCCTGCTCCTGGGGCTCCTCGCCGTCTGGGCCGAGCTGCAGGCTGTAGCTGGTCAGGGAGATAAACGTGAGTAAGGGAAGTTGCCCATGGCTCAGATGAGGGTCCCGGGAGCTCTCTCTTTTGTAGAGGAAGTCACAACTTGCAGTGCAAGAATTGCCCTTAAATGTGCTTTCCCTGGGGCCGTCGCTCCCAGACCCCAGGGCTCAGAGTCTTTGCTGGAGGTGGAAGTGGATGTTTCTCTCCTGTGGCACCCACTTTCCCCGGAAGAGCTCTCAGGTCAGGAGTGAACGGCCACACCATGCAGGCCAGAGGCACCCTGCCGTCGCCTCCTCCCAGAGAGCACACGCGTGTGTTCAGGGCCATCCAGTGCAGATCTCTGCTCTCATCACAACCCATCTCCTCTCCCCAGGTGACATTTGCCGACTCCCGCCTGAGCAGGGCCCTTGCAAGGGACGGATCCCTCGCTACTTCTACAACCCGGCCTCCAGGATGTGTGAAAGCTTCATCTACGGAGGCTGCAAGGGCAACAAGAACAACTTTAAGACGAAGGCAGAGTGTGTGCGTGCCTGCAGGCCTCCTGGTGCGTGGGACAGAGCCCGGCCTCTCCCTCGGTGGGGCGGGGGCAGGTGCTGCCCAGATCCATACCATAAACTGGGGGGGCGGAATTACACTGGGGCTGGTCTCCAGCAGTTCAAGGAGCCCTGGTATCTCTCACGGTGGGAGGTCTGGACAAATAAAAGGTCCCCTGAGTTCCAGCCCTGCTGTGGCTGGGGAGGGACCTGGGGGGTCCTAAATCACAGGGCTCGGAGCCGTGGCCCTGTTAGCCAGGAAGTCCTGAGTTCCAGTATAGCCTCCTACTGCGTGGCCCTGGGCAGCCACTGCCACCCTGTATCACGGTTTGACCTGCCTCCTGAAGAAGCTAATGGACACATGGGGCAGCCAGGGACCCAGGTCCCCGGCCAAGAGCCTGGGCAGGGGAGACCGCGCTGCCGGCATCTGACTCCAGTTCTGGCACAAGTGGGCTGTTCTACTGGGGTCGTGCTGGAGGCTTCACTTCCACCCGGAAATCCTGACAGCAGAGACTAAACGCCCGGCCCCTCGGACCCAGCTGCCCGCTCTGTCCGTTGTGCAGCATGGTCTGGCTACGCTGGGTAGCAATCGCAGAGCTCTGAGCGAGAGCTGGCTGTGCAGTGCCATGGGCTGAGGCTGTCCTCACACCTGCATGCAGCACTAGGGCTGATAGCACAGGGGAAGGGTCCAGAGCGCTGGGCGGGGGGACAGGCAGCTCTGCAGCGGCAGGGGAACAAAACCCAGTCCCATGAGCCTGCCATACCCGATCCCAACTCCCAGGCCCCCCAGCCCAGAGCTGTCTCAGGAAGCTGGAAGTGTCTGCTGCCCTGGACCTCTGCCCAGGGAGCTGCCAGTTCAAGGTCCTAAGGCAGAGGCTGGGAGTCCCTTTGGCTGGTGCAGCTAAGTGACAAGACTGGTGTCTCCCTGTGTGCTCATTCTGCATTGCAGAGAGACCCGGGGTTTGCCCCAAGACCTCAGGCCCTGGCATTTGCCTGCATGGCTGCGACAGCGACTCTGACTGTAAAGAAGGACAGAAGTGCTGCTTTAATGGCTGTGGCTACATCTGCCTGACGGTGGCTCCATCAGGTGAGTCCTGTCTTCCGGCCACAAGGACACCCTGCGGCTCAGCAGCCGCCCAGAGACGCGCTGCGGCCCCATCCCTCTTGGCACGCGCACCTGTCTGCCTGGGATGGTGTCACCCTCACCAGCTGCCCTGTTGCCACGCCAAGCAAAGGGTGTTTGGGGAGCAGCGATACGGGACCAGGGCGCTGACGGCTTCCTCCTATTTTCCAGGGTCTCCCTGACTCCCGTCTGCCAGGACGAGCTGCCTCAGCCCACAGGCCAATTGCCAAGATCGGATCAGCCCGAAGACAAAGCCCCAACCCCCAGGGTCTCTCCCCCATCCCTGGTGCTCTTGCCAGGAGAACAGGTCGAGGTTTCCTGGGATTCCTTCTCTTCCTCAATAAACATTTCCTGATGTCCCAGCACCTCGGCCTCTGCTTCCGTTCTCCAGGTCAGGCCTCCCCCAGCCTGGGCAGCCCCCACCACCCACCCCACCCCTCTGGGCCTGTCAAGCTGGATCCAAGGCAGCTGCTTCTGTTCAGGGCTGCAATCCAGAGACTGAGAGACGCTGATTGTCTATGGGGTGCTCCCGGGGGTGTTGTGTTTAAGCCCCCAGAGGCTGGGCTCGCCCTGTGTCCTGGAGGGAGAGGGTATTAAGGACCACCAGCCTCCGGGGGGGTCAGAGCCTAGAGGGGAGGGCACCTCATACACCCAGACACATTTGCTGGGGTGGGGACGCACAGCTGCTCAGCACCTCGAGGGGAGCAGGGCTGTCTCCACAGGACCCCAGACAGCACCTCTGTGAGGGGTTCAGGGGACACAATCCAGAGTCGCTGGGGAACAGGCATTTGAGGTGAAAGGGTCGGGGGAGGATTTTCCAAGCCGGCCCCTCCCCAGTAGCTCTGGGGGGAGTCGCTTGGGGGAGGAAGCCCCAGCTCAGAGCCTGTCAACCCTGCTCTCCCCAATGGGGTCGGTCCCTCTCCCCAGCAAGACCCAGTTCTGGGGATCCAGCCATATTATTGCCATGCAAGTCAGGCACCTCCTCCAGGTGTCCTGGTGGCGAGTGTCTCACGGAAGAACAGATGGGGGGGCCAGGCGGGCTCCTCCCTCCGCTCTGCATCGCCCTGGCTGGTGTGGGCAGGTCGGGCCGGTCCCCTCAGGTGACCAGGCCTCCGGCCCTGCAGGGCTGCTCTGGACCCGCCTGGCTGGTTTCTCCGGGAGGGCGGCTCTGGGGGCTCTGGGCCCGTGTCAGGCTCTGGCAGTTCACAAGGGCAGCAGCACAAGCCCAGTGTGTCCACGGCTGATCCCCCGTTGCTCTGGGCCATGGCCATTTCCTCGTTCCCCTGGGCAGGGTTCCCCATGTTGGGAAATGGAAGGGACGGGGGCTGGGCCATGGCACCACAGTCCCTCTGGTCAGTCCCTGCTGGACAGACGCAGCCAGGCTGCAGGGCAGGGGCAGCTGAGCAGTAGCCAGGGGTCCAATGGGCGCTGCTGGGAATCGAATCCCCCGCGGGGACTTTTTCCAGAGCCGGTCCCGTCTCCTGGGCCCCAAGGGGGCTGGTGGAACCAGCTACTGGGGACACAACGGGGAAAGGGCCGTGACCTGGCTCCCAGCCCATGTCTGGGGTTGAAGGGTGGCCCCCGTGGGCCAAGCTGTCTGTACCCCTGGAGCCAGAAAGGAACTACACATGCGCACCCCTGGAGCCACTGGCAGGAGCCAGGGATTTCCCTTCCCTTGGGCACTGAGTAGGGTCTGTCCCCTAGGATGGGGCGGGCATGTGCCCCCATCAGTCTCTGAGACTGCAGCCAACGGTACTTTTGGGCCTGGACCTCCCTGTTTCTCCAGGCTCCCTTCAAGGGGGTTTCGCAAACCCCAGGATCCGGCTTGTTTCCTCGTTCCACCTGGGGGAACTGATTTATTGTCAGACAGCACGTGCTGGGAGCTGGAGCATGGCAGGAGCCGAGAGGTCACTGCAGGCACCTCCTCCCCTTCTGACCTGGCCCCACCAGGTTTAAATCCCAGCCCGGCTCAGGGCTGGGCACTGGACCCGGCTCCCGGCAGCATCATGAAGTCAGGGGCCATCGTCCTCCTCCTGGGGCTCCTGGCCCTCTGGGTCCAGCTGCCGCCTGCGGCTGGGGGTAAGTGCAGGCAGCAGGCAGTGGAAGGGGAAGGGACCAGGGGATGAAGGGAGAAACCCAGCTCAGAATGGCTTTGCTCTGCCTTTCAGACACTTCTCTCTCTGCTCTGCCCCTCAGACCTTTGTAGACTCCCTGCTGACCCCGGGTCCTGTTATGCCATGATCCCTCGCTGGTTCTACAAATGGCAGGCCAAGAAGTGTGAGAAATTCACATATAGAGGTTGTGATGGGAACGAGAACAACTCTGAGACTCAAACAGGATGTCTCAGGAAGTGCGGAGGGCACGGTGAGGCTCAGGGCTGGGGGCTGGGTCGCCCCTAGTCCTGCAGGACAGTTTGGGAAGATGGCCGGGCCACTGGGGCTGATCTCCACTCCCTGACCTGAGGGCCCTGAGCTCTCGCATGCTGAGGGCCCCTACACCTGCTAACTCAGGTCCAGCCCTGCTTTGTACAGGCCACAGATGGGAATGCGGGCGGGATATTCTAAACATGAGCGGTCGGCACAAACCTGTCCGACCCTGCGCCCTGTTCCAGCCTGTGACACAGGGCTGCCCGTAACCAGGGTACCTCCCTCTCCCACTGGGAGATACAAGGAGAAATCAGTTACTGTCTGACCGTGGCCTGAATGATCCAATGAGCTCAGGGTCTCGGGGTCTTTGCTGAAGCAGGAAGAGGGTATTGGTCATTTCTGGGCTGAAATGTTTCCACAGTGAAGGAGTGAGTCTCTTCAGGGCTCATCCCGATCTCTCTCGGGTTTCACACTCACGTCCCTAGGGACTGCAGTGGAGTCACCCCGTTTACACTGAACTCTGCAGTCACAGAGCTGCTGAGTGCAGGGAGGTTCTCAGACCCGGGATCCGGGTTGTTTCCTCGTTCCTTCCGGGGGGACTGATTTAGTGTCAGACAGTGCGTGCCTGGCGCTGGTCCATGGCAGGAGCCGAGAGGTCACTGTGAGCCACCTCCCCCCATCCTGACCAGGCCCCACCTGGGCCATTGTTTAAATCCCAGCCTGGCTCAGCTGGGCAGGGCACTCAGACCAAGCTCCCCACAGCAGCATGAAGACAGGGGCCATCTTCCTTTCCAGGGACTCTCAGACTTCCAGACGTCCATTTCCGTGTCCATGTGCAATCCTTTGTGCCATTCCTCTAGCGCTGGGAGGGGCAATGCCAGCTCTGCAGGGGCAGGAAGGACTCTTCCATCCTCTGGAACACCCTTGCCCCAGGGTGCTGAGTCTCTGCTGAAGCTGGACACGGATATTTTTCCCTGATGATTTCTCACTTTGGGTGGTAAAGGCCACATCACATTGCACAGAGACGCCCATAGGACAAGCCTCTGCTCCTGCGCTCTCATGCCTACCCTCTTCATCTGGGTGTGGGGGAGACAGATCCTTGGCAGAAGTCCCTGCTTCTGAGTCCCTTATCTCTCTGTCCTGTGTCCGCAGATATCTGCAGCCTCCCCACTGAAGTGGGCCCCTGTACTGCTGCCATTCCTCGCTGGGTCTACAACTGGCATTCTAAGAAGCGTGAAGAATTCTCTTATGGTGGCTGCAATGGGAACAAGAACAACTTTGAGACTAAAGAAGATTGTCTCCAGGCCTGTGCAGGCCAGGGTAAGACCCATGACAACCTGGACAGGTGCTGCTACTTATACAGTGCAATGCTTGTGTCATAAATATAAAGGGAAGGGTAAACCCCTTTGAAATCCTTCCTGGCCAGGGGAAAGCTCCTCTCACCTGTAAAGGGTTAAGAAGCTAAAGGTAACCTCGCTGGCACCTGACCAAAATGACCAATGAGGAGACAAGATACTTTCAAAAGCTGGGAGGAGGGAGAGAAACAAAGGGTCTGTGTGTCTGTCTATAGTCTGTCTTTGTCGGGGATAGACCAGGAATGGAGTCTTAGAACTTTTAGTAAGTAATCTAGCTAGGTATGTGTTAGATTATAATTTCTTTAAATGGCTGAGAAAAGAATTGTGCTGAATAGAATAACTATTTCTGTCTGTGTATCTTTTTTTGTAACTTAAGGTTTTGCCTAGAGGGGTTCTCTATGTTTTTGAAGCTAATTACCCTGTAAGATATCTACCATCCTGATTTTACAGGGGGGATTTCTTCATTTCTATTTACTTCTATTTTTATTAAAAGTCTTCTTGTAAGAAACTGAATGCTTTTTCATTGTTCTTAGATCCAAGGGTCTGGGTCTGTAGTCACCTAGGCAAATTGGTGAGGCTTTTTACCAAACCTTGTCCAGGAAGTGGGGTGCAAGGTTTTGGGAAGTATTTTGGGGGGAAGGACGCGTCCAAACAGCTCTTCCCCAGTAACCAGTATTAGTTTGGTGGTGGTAGCGGCCAGTCCAAGGACAACGGGTGGAATATTTTGTACCTTGGGGAAGTTTTGACCTAAGCTGGTAAAGATAAGCTTAGGAGGTTTTTCATGCAGGTCCCCACATCTGTACCCTAGAGTTCAGAGTGGGGGAGGAACCTTGACAGCTGGGAACACACCAGGGCCCCCAGGCTGCTCTCCAGTAAATAGGGCTCCTCGTGTATGTTCCCTACCTATTCCGACGGTGCCTGGGTGTAGTCTCGGTGTGTTTCAGGGCTGCTGCAGTTGGTATGGAGCATAGAATCATAGGACTGGAAGGGACTTTGGGGGCTCATCTAGTCCAGTCCCCTGCACTCATGGCAGGACTAAGTATTATCTAGATGTGGAATATGCACTGTACACGCACAGCGCGTGCATATCTGATGTGTGGAGACGGTGAATGTGTGTTTACCTGTGGTGGAAAGGGAAGCCCTCACTGAAAATGCCAAGGTCAGGACAGGCTGGAAAAAAAAAAAGACAGATCCTCCCAAAACTGGAGGTTAACACTGAAGTCAGATTCACCAACCAGTCACAAACTGTGCTCCTGATCCCCCACACTGGTTATCAGGAAGCTAGAAAAGAAATCACACAGCCCCTTTATTGCATTCCAGTTCCCTGGCTCCCAATCAGCAGCTCAGTGCAGTAAGGTGAGGAGTTATTTGAAAACTCTTCTCACTCTACAAAATGTTCTTCTGAACCCCAAAGGGCCAGTCACATTGCCAGGTGAATATTAGGTTGGATCTTACCCAAAATACCAAACTGCCAGCCAATCCTTTAACGTCTAAAACTAAAGGTTTATTAGAAAGGAAAAGAACAAGAGAGCTGTTAAATGGTCAAAACAATCAGGTCCATACATATGACTTCAGAGTCCATATATCAGGTTCTTAGCAGCATTGGGGAGTTTGCTGACTTGTAGAGTCCCTCTGGAACACATCCACAGCTTGGATGGGTTATTCAGTCCTTTGTTCAGAGCTTCAGTTTGTAGAGAAGTTACTCCAGAGGTGAGAAGCAGGATTGAAGACAAAAATGGAGAAGATGCAGCTGCCATTTTATATTCTTTGTCTTGTGGCTTGTACATCCTGTGTCCCAAACACAAACCTACAAGCACATGGGCATGGAAAAGCAATTGCAGGCCCCTGTCCACAGACTCGTCCCTACATGTCCTGCTGACTCATAGGTGTAACCCCTGCCATCTCTCCGTGGGTTCATTGTGTAGCTGGCTGGATAGTGCTGATGCCAATCTGTCTGGGGGTGTAACCCAGAAACACAGCACAAGTTTGAAATACAAATATACCACACATATTTATAACTCACAATACAAATAGGATCCATACATATAAACATGATTATCATATTTAGCTAATCATAACTTTTCCACTGATACCTTACAGGGCATATCTTGTACAATTCATTGCAATTTTGTAACACTGGTATCAAGAACATTATAAATGGTCACGGCTAGTCCATACAGCATCACACACTGTATACATGGCCCATCTCTCACCGTCCCATAGCTGCAGACTGAAGGGAGCCCATCCCGTCCTGTCCTCCCACCTGCCCCCACCCTCCAGAGCTGGAAGAGTCTCAGTTCCTTTCTGCCTGCAACTCTAGCCATGCGAGTGACTAGCCAAGGAAATGGAAATATACCTGCTGGGTGTGTAAGGCACCCGGGGTCAATGCACCCTGATGCCATGTTCTGCTGAGGGTCAGCTCTGAGTCCCCAGTGCTGAGCCGGGCTGGAATTTAAACCGTCTTCAAGGCAGGACTGGTTAAGGAGTGGGGGAGGTGCCTCACAGTGCCATGGTACAAGGGCTCTGACGGCTTTGTCCTATTTCCCAGGGTCTCCCTAACTCCCATCTGCCAGGACCCAGACTCCTCAGGGGACGAGCTGCCTCAGCCGCACTGGGGTCAATTGCCAAAGATCGGACTAGCAGGAAGACAAAGCCCCGACCCCCAGGGACTCTCCCCCATCCCCGGTGCTCTTGCCAGGAGAACAGGTCGTGGCTTCCTGGGATTTCTTCTCTTCCTCAGTAAACATTTCCTGACATCCCAGCACCTCGGCCTCTGCTTCCGTTCTCCGGGTCAGGCCTCTCCCAGCCTGAGCAGTCCCCACCACCCACCCCACCCCTCTGGGCCTGTCAAGCTGGATCCAAGGCAGCTGCTTCTATTCAGGGCTGCAATCCAGAGGCTGAGAGATGCTGAGTTGCCTGATGGGAAACTTTCCCAGTAAGCACAGACAAGCTCTGGGATGTGCCTGGGAAGCTCTGGGAGCAGCCACATGGAGCAGACCAGTCTTTACACTAGTGCCCAGGTTTTCACAATTGTGCAGGTTTTGTGCCTAATTTGGCCTGTGCAGCTGCACACCCGGTTGCCTAGTGCAAGTCACCCATTTACACACACAGTCATGTGCACTGGGCTCCCAAATGCACTTGCATATTTGTGTACAAGCAGCTCTGGGAACGTGTCCCACTGCCTGCTCGGTCTGAGGCGCTTTGTGAAGCGGCTGCTTCTGGGGGAGGTCTGGATCTCCCACCTTTCCCGCCTTTATTTGGCTGCCTCTGTGTGGCTGTTTTAATGAAACCCTGGGGAGGGCTGGGTCCGGTGGGCAGGCTCCCCAGGGGTCTCGGAACGCTCACATGCCTTGGGGCACTCAAACCACCAAACAAGTAGAATCCCTGGCAGATGAGTCCTGGCACACGAAAGCAGTGGCAGAAAGACAAGGTTCTGTGGCTCCCATCTACACTCGCACCCTGGTCAGGTGTCTTAACCCTAACACTGCCATCTTCCCCTCCTCCTCCTCTGGCATTTTGCTTTGGCCTTTGGCCTTTCACGCGTCGGGGGGTGCCCTGACTGGGCTCGGGGGATAGAATGTGCTGGGCACAGGAAGGGGTGAGGGTTCATATTAGTGCAGATCTAATTTGCCACTAGAAATTGTACTTCAGGGACTAATTTTGGCCCCACTCCTGCAAATACCTCTGTGTTTGGCTTTTGGCCCATGACTAGTGTGATGAAGTGGGACTGTTCTTAATCTTTCCTCTGAATAGTGTGGGGGTGCCTGAGTTTCCCCTAGGCAGTTCTTAAATATCTAGGGGGTGGGATAAGGATGTATGATCCTTGCAGAGCCCTAGAGGGCAGGGGTGTGCAGTGGTCTGGACACAGAAAATGGCCGACACCCTGTTTCCTGGCAACTGATGGCCTGGGCCCTTCCCCCCTGCAAGGTGAGAGCTAAAGGGTTGGAGAACAAAGGAATCCAGTGACCTCCTGGCCGGGGAAAGGGACAAAGCGCAGGGGAGTAGGGGCTGGACAGAGTTTCAGTTTGGGGCTGGCTGGGGAGGAGAAGTGAAGTGCAGATGGGGTTGTCTGGCTCACTGCCCCCCGAAATGGACCCAGCTGAGGGGTCCTGTTCTCTGCACCTACAAGCTCTGTGTTAGACCGTGTTCCTGTCGTCTAATAAACCTCTGTTTTACTGGCTGGCTGAGAGTCACGTCTGACTGCGGAGTTGGGGGGCAGGACCCTCTGGCTTCCCCAGGACCCTGCCTGGGCAGACTCACTGTGGGAAGCGCACGGAGGGCGCAGAGGATGCTGAATGCTCCGAGGTCAGACCCAGGAAGGTGGAAGCTGTGTGTCCTGCAGACAGGCTGCTCACAGAAAGGAGACTTCCCCAGAGTCCTGCCTAGCTTCATGGGGAGCAGTTCCAGAGCATCGCCCAGGGACTCCGTGACAAGTCCCATTGAAGTTAAGCATCTGAGCATGTGCAGGATCAGTGTGTTCCTCTGTGTTCCTGGCCACTGGCTGAGGAACTAGTGGAAAGGGCGTCTCATGGTACCCTGAAATTAGGCCCAATAGAGAAGAGAAGCTCCTGTCTGGGAGGGCAAGGGGAGAGCACAGGCCAGGGACACAGGCTTATGAAACCACAGACAGACATTCACAGCAATATCCCGGCAGGGGTTATTTTTAATATCCACATTTATTGAAGAGAGGTTTTCATTTCTAAAAGAAAGAGACCAAGCTACCTCCCAGCGCACGTCACGTGGCAGAGAACACACGCTGCATCAACCAGACAGGAAGGTGGCTCGGACACCCAGCTACACGCAGAATGGTGGGCAAAGCAGCAGAGATAAACACACAGCTCCGTTAAGAACAGTGTTACGGGGAGGGGACTTTTTACTCCAAGGAAGAGAACGGTGAAAACAAGAAGGGTTTTTACAAAGCCGGGCCCTTTGTGTTCCCTGATGTAGAACATACGTACGGCCTAACTCCCCAAGGACACTGGCCGAGCACCTGCACAATTGTGTCTCTAATCTGCAGGCACCATTACGATGTCTGTCCATGCAATGTGCAGATTAGCCGCACGGGTGGCCATTTGAACACCCAGTTGCCAAATACACAGCTTGAAGGTGTATCCTCAACACTTGTTCATGGAAATCATACGACTGCGCCCAGCACTGGGCTGGAGACTTGTGGAGAATCAGCCCCTACAACCCTACACACAATTTCTTCCCCTACATTCTAAGAGTTACATGTACACATTTACTAAGTGCTGTACTGGTGAGTCCTCAGAGTCCCCAGGAGGTAGGTCCCCCCCCCATTCTACCCCTGGGGAAACCTACACACAGATAGACAATGTCTTACCCAAGCCAAACAGAAAAGGAGTACTTGTGGCACCTTAGAGACTAACCAATTTATTTGAGCATGAGCTTTCGTGAGCTACAGATGCATCCGATGAAGTGAGCTGTAGCTCACGAAAGCTCATGCTCAAATAAATTGGTTAGTCTCTAAGGTGCCACAAGTACTGCTTTTCTTTTTGCGAATACAGACTAACACGGCTGTTACTCTGAAACCAAGCCAAACAGTTACACATGGCAGAGCTGATTACACACTGTTAACCCTGGATTTGGGCGCCAATTGTAAACAGCCCGTTTGCTCGCTGCACAATCCTTTCTCAGTAGCCTGCCAGGAATGGAGCTCAGTTTTTATGTGCACAGCTGGGTAACGGAGTCATACGTATGGTTTCCAACACGTTACCTCAAGTCTACACCGTCCCCAGGAGAATGGAGCAGCAGAGGCCCATCCAAGCTGCCCAAACCAGGGCTATGATTGCTCTTAGCCAGAAGGTCTGGCTGACCTCGGGGCAGGGGGAGCCACATCAGCAGGGGAATTTATGAGTAAATGAGTTTTCCTTCAGCTCGGCATTCCGGCTGCTGGAGGAAGACACTGGCCCCAGGCCCAGACTGAAGGTGTCCGGAGGGAATGGCTCTGGGTGCACCATGCGATGGGACAGGTATCAGAGAAGAACTGGCCTGAACCTGGAACACCGCTAGGAGTGGAGAACATCAGTGCCAGGGGCTGGCTAACCCATCAGGAAAGATTTAATAAGACAGAAAATATATCCCAAGAAAAAGTGACCTGAAAGCTGAATCAAAGTGCTCAGACACTAGGGTGACGAGCTTAGAGTAAGAGCCTAGAGAGAGAACCCCAACGTCCCCTTGCACCCTACTCAAGTCAGGGAGCGAAGATCCCTGAACATTGATTTCCTTCACCCAAAGAGAGTGATCCCTGAGCAGTAACCTTGTCATTCGAGGAGGCAGCTTGTTCCCAGGCAATCACTGGTAAAAGAGAAGGGACAGCTGGAAAACATCAAACAGGAAAGGCTCTTGTTGCCAGGAATGTATTTGCCGGCTGATCTGATATCAGAAGGTTTCCAAACCATCAGCTGTTTAGAGCCACCATCCCACAGGTCAGAATTATCACCTCACTTGTCACAGTCTTCAGCCCCATCAGAGCCCCCATCCCTCAGAGAAGAATCCTCGCTCAGGTCAGCATCGCCAACTCCCCCGTCCGAGTCATCCTCGCTCAGGTCAGGGTCGCCATCTCCCCCGTCCGAGTCATCCTCGCTCAGGTCAGGGTCGCCAACTCCCCCGTCCGAGTCATCCTCGCTCAGGTCAGGGTCGCCATCTCCCCCGTCCGAGTCATCCTCGCTCAGGTCAGGGTCGCCATCTCCCCCGTCCAAGTCATCCTCGCTCAGGTCAGGGTCGCCATCTCCCCCGTCCGAGTCATCCTCACTCAGGTCAGGGTCGCCATCTCCCCCGTCCGAGTCATCCTCGCTCAGGTCAGGGTCGCCATCTCCCCCGTCCAAGTCATCCTCGCTCAGGTCAGGGTCGCCATCTCCCCCGTCCGAGTCATCCTCGCTCAGGTCAGGGTCGCCAACTTCCCCGTCCAAGTCATCCTCGCTCAGGTCAGGGTCGCCATCTCCCCCGTCCGAGTCATCCTCGCTCAGGTCAGCGTCGCCAACTTCCCCGTCCAAGTCATCCTCCTCAGGTCAGGGTCGCCATCTCCCCCGTCCGAGTCATCCTCGCTCAGGTCAGCGTCGCCAACTTCCCCGTCCAAGTCATCCTCGCTCAGGTCAGGGTCGCCATCTCCCCCGTCCGAGTCATCCTCGCTCAGGTCAGCTCCCAACTTCCCCGTCCAAGTCATCCTCGCTCAGGTCAGGGTCGCCATCTCCCCCGTCCGAGTCATCCTCGCTCAGGTCAGGGTCGCCATCTCCCCCGTCCGAGTCATCCTCGCTCAGGTCAGCATCGCCATCTCCCCCGTCCAAGTCATCCTCGCTCAGGTCAGCGTCGCCATCTCCCCCGTCCAAATCATCCTCGCTCAGGTCAGGGTCGCCATCTCCCCCGTCCGAGTCATCCTCGCTCAGGTCAGCGTCGCCAACTCCCCCGTCCAAATCATCGTCGCTCAGGTCAGCGTCACCATCTCCCCCGTCCAAATCATCCTCGCTCAGGTCAGGGTCGCCATCTCCCCCATCCGAGTCATCCTCGCTCAGGTCAGCGTCGCCAACTCCCCCGTCCAAATCATCCTCGCTCAGGTCAGCGTCACCATCTCCCCCGTCCGAGTCATCCTCACTCAGGTCAGGGTCGCCATCTCCCCCGTCCGAGCATCCTCACTCAGGTCAGGGTCGCCATCTCCCCCGTCCAAGTCATCCTCGCTCAGGTCAGGGTCGCCATCTCCCCCGTCCAAATCATCCTCATCATCTTCTCCACCAGACACAGGTTTTTCATCAGATCCAGGTTTTAAAACAGACACCGGTTTTCCAGTTGACTCAGGTTCTGGTCCAGACACCGGTTTTGTTGCCCCCAACACAAGTTTTTCCTTCAGCTTGTCTTCTTCTGATATGTGCTTCCCTGGGTCATCACCATGGAGAGGAGAAGCTGTGCCAGGGATCCCTGAAAAGGGAGAGAAAACAGGAGAGTCAGAGACCCAAATATGCCTCAGTCACATATGGCTGCTGCCAATCCACCCTATGCACTTTCTTCATGCTGCAGCAACCTGTCCACAGGATATGAGCATTGCCCCTTACCTTGGATAGTCCCTAGGTAGTTGTACATATGGTACCTGATTCTGTTCTATTCAGGTTCTTATACTGCACCCATCCCTGTGGTATCTGAGCAACTTCCAGAAGTGCAGTAAGTGACACGACTGAAGCCCGTTGCTCAAGCTCTGTCTGTCTCTCAGTCTGACCTCCTTGGTCAGCAGCCAGCTCTTCTTCCCCCACCTCACCCCCTCCAGTCCTTTGTTCTGGCCAGGAGATAGGGAGTTAGAGACTGACAAAAAACAGATACTGGGAGTCAAGGCAGGCTGGAGACAAGGAGGAGGATTTTTACAGGGATACAGTGTCTAAGGAACACTCCTCCTGGTGCATGATGTGCTTGCTTTTAGACAATGGTGAGCCCCAACCCAAAATGGAGTCACATGTGTTAACTTTTCCTTAACAGTTCTCGAGCTGGGGGATTGTGCTCAGCTTTCCTCATGAGAGGTGGAGAAATCTATATCCCTCTGCATCACTGGTGGCTAGGTGTCTATGACTTGGTGATTGGATTTTCCATTGTCTTCTTAGGTACTCCATTGGTATGGGGACTGAGGCCCAGACAGCGAGGTGACACTCATATTTATGTTTTTTTAGCCTGCCCTGAGAGCAAACAGTCCTTTTCCCCTTACTTGGTAACAATGCAGCATACAGGGGAAATTGAATCATAAAAATATTACAGAAAATATCCACTTTGTCACACTGAAGTATTGCTCAGACAAGGACCTCATCTGTCAAGATGGCATGGAGTCTCCTAGCCCATCAGAGACAGCAGAAACTGACCTGGAGACGCTGCCCTGTGAGAGCTTAACATCAACAAGGAATCCTAACTCCTAAACTACAGACTGACTTGACTTGACTGGGGCATGTATCTTCAACCAGAAGAGGATGAATGGGGGCTGCAAACTCCAAATTACTTCCCCCTGATAACCGTGCCTGCTAACCAATATGACTGCTGTCTTGCTAGGTTTCAGTTTCAATCAGTTCTTCTTGGATGAGCTGACCCCAACCAAGCAGTGGGCCAGCTTAGTGACGGTGCTGTTGTTGCATGTTGTGAAGGATAAGATAGAGCGATATGTTTCAGAGTAACAGCCGTGTTAGTCTGTATTCGCAAAAAGAAAAGGAGGACTTGTGGCACCTTAGAGACTAACCAATTTATTTGAGCATAAGCTTTCGTGAGCTACAGCTCACTTCATCGGATGCATACTGTGGAAAGTGTAGAAGATCTTTTATACACACAAAGCATGAAAAAATACCTCCCCCCACCCCACTCTCCTGCTGGTAATAGCTTATCTAAAGTGACCACTCTCCTTACAATGTGTATGATAATCAAGGTGGGCCATTTCCAGCACAAATCCAGGGTTTAACAGGAACGTCTGAGGAGGGGGGGGAGGAAAAAACAAGGGAAAATAGGTTACCTTGCATAATGACTTAGCCACTCCCAGTCTCTATTCAAGCCTAAGTTAATTGTATCCAATTTGCAAATGAATTCCAATTCAACAGTTTCTCGCTGGAGTCTGGATTTGAAGTTTTTTTGTTGTAATATCGCAACTTTCATGTCTGTAATTGCATGACCAGAGAGATTGAAGTGTTCTCCGACTGGTTTATGAATGTTATAATTCTTGACTATCTGATTTGTGTCCATTTATTCTTTTACGTAGAGACTGTCCAGTTTGACCAATGTACATGGCAGAGGGGCATTGCTGGCACATGATGGCATATATCACATTGGTGGATGTGCAGGTGAACGAGCCTCTGATAGTGTGGCTGATGTTATTAGGCCCTGTGATGGTGTCCCCTGAATAGATATGTGGGCACAGTTGGCAACGGGCTTTGTTGCAAGGGTAGGTTCCTGGGTTAGTGGTTCTGTTGTGTGGTGTGTGGTTGCTGGTAAGTATTTGCTTCAGGTTGGGGGGCTGTCTGTAGGCAAGGACTGGCCTGTCTCCCAAGATTTGTGAGAGTGTTGGGTCATCCTTCAGGATAGGTTGTAGATCCTTAATAATGCGTTGGAGGGGTTTTAGTTGGGGGCTGAAGGTGACGGCTAGTGGCGTTCTGTTATTTTCTTTGTTAGGCCTGTCCTGTAGTAGGTGACTTCTGGGAACTCTTCTGGCTCTATCAATCTGTTTCTTCACTTCCGCAGGTGGGTATTGTAGTTGTAAGAATGCTTGACAGAGATCTTGTAGGTGTTTGTCTCTGTCTGAGGGGTTGGAGCAAATGCGGTTGTATCGCAGAGCTTGGCTGTAGACGATGGATCGTGTGGTGTGGTCAGGGTGAAAGCTGGAGGCATGTAGGTAGGAATAGCGGTCAGTAGGTTTCCGGTATAGGGTGGTGTTTATGTGACCATCATTTATTAGCACTGTAGTGTCCAGGAAGTGGATCTCTTGTGTGGACTGGACCATCCCACCATCAACCTCAGCCTGGTCCAGTCCACACAAGAGATCCACTTCCTGGACACTACAGTGCTAATAAACGATGGTCACACAAACACCACCCTATACCAGAAACCAGTCGGAGAACACTTCAATCTCTCTTGTCACGTGATTACAGACATGAAAGTTGCGATATTACAACAAAAAAACTTCAAATCCAGACTCCAGCGAGAAACTGTTGAATTGGAATTCATTAGCAAATTGGATACAATTAACTTAGGCTTGAATAGAGACTGGGAGTGGCTAAGTCATTATGCAAGGTAACCTATTTTCCCTTGCTTTTTCCTACCTCCCCCCCCCCGCCCTCCTCAGACGTTCTTGTTAAACCCTGGATTTGTGCTGGAAATGGCCCACCTTGATTATCATACACATTGTAAGGAGAGTGATCACTTTAGATAAGCTATTACCAGCAGGAGAGTGGGGTGGGGGGAGGTATTTTTTTCATGCTTTGTGTGTATAAAAGATCTTCTACACTTTCCATAGTATGCATCCGATGAAGTGAGCTGTAGCTCACGAAAGCTCATGCTCAAATAAATTGGTTAGTCTCTAAGGTGCCACACGTCCTCCTTTTCATAGAGCGATATGTCATCTGCATATTGTTGGCATCTGAGTGATGTCTCATCAGTTCTCCTAGAGGCTACATGGAGATGCTGAATAGGACAGGAAACAGAATTGATCTTTCAGGCACTTCACAAGTGAGGGTCTAGTGGCAGGAGTGCGACTTCCATCACCATCCTTTGGGTGCATCCTTCCAAGAAAACTCAGACCGTTTTTCTGCCTCCTCCTGAGCCCTGCGTCCACCTTCAAACAGGGAAGAAGTATCTGACAAACACTGCAGAGAAGTCCAGAAGAATAAGAATGGACGCCTGCCCTCTATCCACAGCAGCAGATCATCCATCAGTGCCAGGAATACTGTTTCGGTTCCATGTCTTGGGCTGAATCCACACCGTGCTGGGGCTAGGATATTGGCTTTGCCTAGATAAGCTTATAAGCAGCTTTCAGCTAACATCTCTGAGCTTGCATAGGAATGGTGGGTTTGAAACCAGGCAGTAGTTAGCTAGGTCCAGTGCATCCAGGGTGGGTTTCTTTATTGTTGGCTGGACTCTTGGGAGTTTGAAGGAGGGAGGGAAGATTTCTTCAATAATGGAGGCACTAGCTGTTTCAGTCAGGAGAGGCACCAGTTACTTGTGGCCCTTTTTTATTAGCCAGGAAGAACAAGCCTCAAACTCCCAGGTTTTTGCTTGAGTCTCCTTCAGGGTGTCCAGTGCTCGTGGCATCAATGAGCTGAGCTCATGGAAGCAGGTTGTTTCTTGGCTGGCACAAGGGGATCAGATCCTTGAAGCCCAAGAAGACTTCCTGGATGTAGGTGATCTTTTCTCCTCATAGAATCATAGAATATCAGGGTTGGAAGGGACCCCAGGAGGTCATCTAGTCCAACGCCCTGCTCAAAGCAGGACCAATCCCTAACTAAATCATCCCTGCCAGGGCTTTGTCAAGCCTGACCTTAAAAACATCTAAGGAAGGAGATTCCACCACCTCCCTAGGGAACTCATTCTAGGGCTTCACCACCCTCCTAGTGAAAAAGTTTTTCCTAATATCCAACCTAAACCTCCCCACTGCAACTTAGATTCTAGATTCATAGATTC